CTCGGATGCAGTGTAACCCCTGCCATGTGGGAAACCCTAAATTTTCTGGTAGCCTCATGGAAGTGGAAAGGAACCAGGTGAAATTAATGAATATTGTGTTTAACCCAGGAATCCCGAATACTGTCTTTCAACCTGTAATCCACATAAAAGCTATGAAGAAGCATTCTGCGGTGTTTTGTGCAGACTTCCTGGAGGTCTGGGGTGCACCCTCCCTGACACGCACCCCGCGGGTCTCTGCGGTGGCTGGGCAGACAGGAGGCCCGGCCGGGACTCTGCGGGACCACGTGTCATCTGCTTCACGGTCAGTGACCTGTCTGTCGCCCGATACCCCCCTCTGCTCATGCTGGCACAGGCCGGGCCCCCGGGGCACAGCCGCCGGCTTCCGCTGCGTTGGGGCCCCTGTGCAGAGCCATGCCCGGCACGCAGCCCACGGCTCGGTGCGCACTCACGAGCCGACGGACGGACAGGCGCAGGGGTCGGGAGCGTTTGCCTTTCCTGGGGTCTCGTCTGTGCCTTTCCCTCCTGCTTACCCCGCCGCTGGTGCTGGCCACACCGCCTCCTCTCTTCCGCAGACAGACCTCCTTCCTGTCGCCCAGGGGAGCGCCAGTCACCTTCCCTGGGACGGAGGTGTGTTCCTGGGCCTGGGGCGCAGAGCCTGGGGCCTGCACAGCGAGGGCGTGGGGGCTGGCGCACGGTTAGGGCAGGCCCCGCGGCTTGCAGAGCGGCACCCGGTGGTCAGCCGTGACCCCGGACGTAACCGTGTGACGCCGCTTAGTGACGGGCGGTCCTAGCACAGAGGCAGAATGGTGGCGGGGCCTTCCCTTTGATGCTCCTCGCAGCTTGTGTGCAGTCAGACCTTTGGGAGTATTCTGAGTTAAATAGAGTTCATTTTGTGTTTGACATTAGAACTCGAAGATCCGGGCAAAGAGGCTAAAAAGCAGCGTCCTCTTGGGTCCGCCAGCAGCCTCTCAGAAGGAGCAGCCTCGGTGCCACCACAGGGGCTCGGGTGCTCGCCAGGTGGGGACCCCGTCCATGCCTGCGGGTTCCCACCCCCGCACCTGCTGCAGGCCGTCATGCCCCTCTGGGCGGACTGTCCACTAGGAGTTCGGTTTCTTATTAAACTTGTCTGCTCAACTATCTGTTTCCCAGGGATGATAGTTTATTTATCAGAAACGCACCTGCCGCTGGGACTGTCGCGTTGGCCACTAATGGTAATTATGATAATGATCGAATCTTGGTAATGACTGAATAGCAGTGATTGGGGATGAGCAGCAGCGGGGACACGGGCACTTTGCACGTGGTAACAACTCAATGAGGGGGGGATGCTCTTGTCCCCATTTACAGATGAGGAAACTGAGGTACAGCGCTAGGAGGCTTGCCCAAGGTCCCGTGACCAGTCGAGGCAGGCCTGGGATTTGAACCCTGGTGCTTTAGCAGCATTTGGAAGTGTGCAGACTTTTTCGCTGACTCACTGGGCTGCCAAGCAAACTCTTCACTGACCGCCACCATGTACCGGCTGTTTTGTTTCAGCGATGCAGGGATGCAAGGGCTGTAGATGTCACAGAGGAGACAGGTGACCCCGTGACAGAGGGCCGTGCGGTCGTGGTGGCCATGCAGCCGGGGCTTGGGGCTCGCTGCCCCCCTCACTGCTGCCCACGCTCCCAGCAGCCTTTGCAAGGGGCCAACCAGACAGACAGCTCTGGGGTCGTGGGAGGGGACCCTCGCGCTGGAGCCCGAGGATACTGCTGTGTCCCCATGTCGTCCTTCGTGGGAGGGTGTACACGCACAGAGCGAATCCTGCTTTGTAGATGGCCACGTCCTTCATCTGACTGGAACAATACAACCCTTTTGGCACGAAGCACAAAACATCGTTTGATCTTTAACATTAGAAGGCTTCTCTTGGAACCCACCCAGAGGCAAGAGTCCACAGCTGCAGATTTCCTTCTAGAAGGTGTCCAGCACAACGGTGTTTGTGGTGGTGAGCTGCTGACCCTCACGCCAAGCCCACGTGCGCGGGGGCTTTCGACAACACCTTTGCCTGCACCGGGGCCACGTGAGTGTGGGCCTCCCTGGGGGACTGGTCAGAGGGAAGACTGCCTCTGACCCACACGCTCGGGATGGACCATCCACACGCACAGTCCACGCCGCTTGTCATACTGAGAGGCGGGACAGCATGTCCGGGCCCCTGCGATGCTGGGCCAGCTGCGCCGTGCTTGGGTGCGGGTACTAGCAGCTCTCCAGAGCTTCCGGAGGATTCTGACATGTGGACAGGGCTCAGAGCTGCAGGGCTCCCGCCGTCCAGGAGGGGCAGCTTCTGCTGCTCGTGGCCATCACGACAGTTCGTGTCACCGTGGGCAGCGTGGTAACGGACTGGTGGCGAGCGGCAGGGGCAGGGACCAGAATGCACTCTTGCCGTGGCCCTGCTGACGTGGAGCAGGGTGGGAAGAGCCTTAGAAGGACCCGACGCGTCTGACTTCTGACATCAGTGTCCTGGGCAGACCTTCCTCTACTTTGTACGTCTGTGGACGGGGCAGAGCGCTGCTTGTGGACCTCAGTATCCCCCTAGGTTTGCGGGACTGGGCTGTTGATGGGGCCCCGACTCGGCCCCTCTGCCCCACTGTTGTTCCGCAGGCAGACCCGTCCCCGCGAGGGCGGACCTCCTGGGATGTGACGCGGTGACAGCTTCATGAGCAATGGCCCTTTACCCGAACGACGTGGGCAATGCAGAACAGCACATGGCTAACCGCCGGGCCGTGGTTCCCACGTTGGAGACGCCTCTGCCCGGTGCATAAATAAGACAGGCCCTTTTAAAAAAGAAATCTGTATTTAAAGACGTGTTTGGCTGTGTTCTTTACCTCCCGTAAAGGTCACCCGGATAGATTTTTCCTTCTTTAGCATTGCAGGCTGTGAAGCGCTGGGCATTTCTATTCTCTCTCCATCCAGTGAACCTGGGGGACTAAATTAGATTCTGAAATTGAGTGTGCAGGGGAGTCGGTGAGTTACCGTAATGGGAGGGTATTGCTTCTCACCTTGCAAGTAGCGAGGTCATGATAATATGAAGCGAAGTGGATTAAAAATAAAACCAAAGGTATTTATTTACGACCTGCTCGGAATTGGATTGGCGTCCATGTAAGTTGCATCTAATGGTGAAAGACAGCAGATTGATGTTCATCTGTCCCTGGGGACATTCTGCCAGTGAAATTTGCTCCGTGAATTCAATTTAAAGGCCCCCAGAAAGTATCCAAAATGCAAAAGGAAATGGGATTGAGGAAGGGGATAAAGCAGCCGCGGCAAGCCGACAGCGGAGGACAGCCCCGGTGCGCGTCTCGGGGTGGGGGAGGGTTCTGCACGGCTCACGGACCCGAGGCGCCGCGTCGCTCCATGCCAGGCCCTGGCCACCCCTGGCTGCCCCTGGTGGGAACTGGGACCCCATTCTGCAGATGAGGAGCCTGAGGCTGCGAGGCGGTCAGTGGCTGGCCCGTCTCTGCAGCCAGATGGCCACACAGCCAGGATCTGAGCCCAGAGCCTGCCTCCAGCGGCCGGCTCTGTGGGATGGCGCAGCTACCCCCAGCCTGCAGATAAAGGGCGTGCGGCTCAGGGGGGTCCGTTGAGGGCTGGACTGGGATGTGAACGCATCACCTGCCCCCCTTGGCACACCCTCCTTGTGTCCCCTGTCCCAGCCTTGCGGGGCCAGGAGGCTTGGTGGACGGTGCCTGTGTGAGTCTCCCTGAGCTGCCCCTTTCCAGGCAGGCAGGTGGGGCAGCCCGAGTCTGATGCCCTGCCCGTCCCCTGTCTTCTGCTGGGACCCTCGGAGGGGCAGCACTAGCACCCTGAAAACCCAGTCACCCTTCAGGCTTGCTCAGATCCGGCTCTGGGTGGGATGGGAGGTGGAGGGAAGGCCCTGGGGGCCACATTCTCCAGAACCAGAGCCAGCCGGGCTATCTGTGCAGTGTTGGCCCACTTCCTGAGAAGGAGTCTGGCCTCAGGCCTTGCCCTGACCTGATAGCCCAGTCCCCCATTTCTCTTCCTCTGAGACCCCCAACCCAGGAAGCCGTCCTGGCCACACAGCCCTACCCACTCCTGCCAGAGCCCTCTGGGAGCCGGGACCCGTGCTCCCCGAAACCCACCCCACCCTTGGTGGTGTTGCAGGTTGCTCTGGATGAGGGCCATGGTCCCTCAGAAGGGCTGGTCAGGGTGCAGGGCTGGGTGTCATGCATCGCTGTGGTCCCGGTCATGTTTTTCTTTCCAGCACTTTCTTCAGTATCCCTCTCTCTAGTTCCTGAACTGTGAGCTCTTGAGACCGTTCCTGTGTCCTGTGGGGGGTGAGCTCAGTGCCCAGCCCAGTGAGCTGAGACATGGCCCACATGGGTGGGCTGGGGTCAGCTGAGGGTCTCTAGCTTGGTCTTCCCTGGAAAACTATCGACTGAGGGACAGTGACAGGGGCTGCCTGACATGCCCCCCCCCCCCAGCGTGTGCCCACCTGGCACATACCTGCCCCCGGTGCGCCCAGTGTCCTTGCTGAAGGAGATGGTGCCTGGAGAAGTGTCACCACATGCACAGAAATCTGTGTCTGAAGTCAGCCCTGGCCGGGGTGGGTGGGGGCGCTTTCCTTGTGGATTCTGCAGAGCCTTGGGGGCAGTGGGGGCTCCTGGGCTGAGGCAGCGCACTTGCAGCCGGGCCCCTCAGGACCAGCACCGGGGCCCTGGAGCCCCAGGGAGCCGGTTCGGTGAGGTCACAGTGTGGGCGGCTCTGCCCTCAGCATCCCGGCAGCGTCGCCTGAAAGTATGTGGAGCCGGGCGAGGGCCTTCCTCCTGGCTGTAGGGGCTCGGGGCCTTTTGGAGTCTGGAGGGGAGGGGACAATTCGTGGGATCTGGGAGGCTGCAGAGCCCCCTCTCACCCCCACTGCTGGCCAGTCCCCACCCAGGGGAGCCCCTGGTCTGCAGCCCCCTGCCCCGCGGCTGGTCACCTGCTCTGACCCGGGCTTGTCTCTCTCCCCCCAGGAGCTGCTGCTCTTCCTTCAGAACCTGCCCACAGCCCACTGGGGCAACGAAGACATCAGCCTGCTGCTGGCTGAGGCCTACCGCCTGAAGTTTGCCTTCGCGGATGCCCCCAATCACTACAAGAAATGAGCCGGGGCCAGCGCGGCTGGCATCACCCACCCCGGGGTGGTGCCCCCAGCGCCCGTGGCTGCAGGCCGGTGGCCAAGGAGGGGCCTTGCTGGGCGGCCCTGCTCTCCAGGGAGCTGGCCAGGACTGGGCGTCAGGCGAGGGCCAGGGCCTGGCCGGGGGCCGCCTCTGTTTCCTAAGATACCAAAGAGAGCCGGGGGAGGGTCTTGGCCCTTCAGGGGGCCGGGAGCGGGTGGGCGTCTCCCTGCCCTGTCCCTGGAGCATCCTTGCCAAATGCCCACCTCCTGGAGCCCCCAGGGCACAGCGGCCCGAGAGCCAGACCCTCTTGGAGGGGCCTGCTGTCTGGTGCCGGGGCCGGGAGGAGGGGGTGGTCATCTCATACCTGCTTTGAAATGCAAAAACCCTATTCTGTTGAGTGAAAGAGAATAAAACATAGACAAAATAAGAAGTGAACTGTTGTCCTCACCTGTGAAGTCTCTGTCCCCACGGGGCTTCTCGAAGTTGGCCTTATTCCTGTAACTGTCCGGCCCCTGGGCTCTAGCATGTCCCTTCTCTCTTGCTCTAACCTGGACTGGGGATCGCTCTGTGCGTCAACCGAGCGGCCGGGATCTGTGGCTACAGCAGGCTGGGGGCAGGCCGAGGAGCTGAGCAGCTGCCGTGCTTTTCCAGCCTCTTGAAAGTGAGGACTGCGCCCCCGCTAGCCTGCATGCTGCTCTGCCCAGGGGGAGCTGGGGGGACACACCGCACACGCTGCCGCCAAGGACGTAGCTCCCTGTCTGGCCATCGGGTTGGGTGGGGTACAGCCTCTGTAATCGGAGACCTCGAGGCCCACTGCTTAGCCTCCCCCCACCTCCCAGGTCTCCGGAGGGTTACAGAGCTGATGGCTTCCTGCAGTCTGTGGGTCACTGGGGCTGAGCGCCCAGGCTCAGCAGGTCCTGGACTGGCCTGCCTGGGGCTCCGTGGGGGCCAGACACGCTTCCACACGCCCCCCACCCATGCAGAGGTGCACCTGTCCCAGGCACGTGGCCGGCTCATGCTGACCCCTGAGCCAGGACAGGCTCTTGTCCTCAGCTCCTCCTCCTGCTCCCAGACTCATGTGTTTGCAGACGCCTCTTCCCCGCCCTGTGCCCGTCCCGGGGCAGCCAGGCCTGTGCCCCCGCCTTTGCATGCTCGGCGTGAGGACGCTGCGGGAAGCCTGTGAATGGAGGATAGGAATCACACGTGTGATATGTGTGTCCTTTCTTTTTGTTAAAAAGATTCTCGGGTCATTGCACTTGGCGTTGAAATCACAAAATACTGTGCAAAATGTACGGTGTTCCCAGATCAGCCGAGGGACCGGCCTCAGACCGGCTAGACAGAACCCCCCCAGCCCCAGGGTTGGGGGCTCCTCTCAACTGGCACCCGGCTGCCCAGCGGCTCTTCTCCAGCCAGAGCGTCGGGTTCCAGGAGAGCTGCCCGGGGCCGCGTGCTGGAAGTCCCATCCTGCTTGGTCGTCCCCCCCAGGAACCGCTGTCGCAGCTCAGAGCACTCTGCATGGCCAAGGTGTTGGGCACACAAAACATCTGCCTCTGGAGGCAGTTAATTTTTCAAGTAGGAGGATCTGCGAAGTTAAATGAGGCTCCACGTATATTTTTCTGTGTCTGTGAACCTGAAATTGAATGCTAGGGCTGTTGACATGCCTCCTAGGAGCCTAGCCCATTGATCTGAAAGGATGGAAGGTGTTCTGTCTGGAGAATGATGTGCTGGAATGGGAATAAAGATGCAGGGAACCCCCCAGCCTTGGCCTGATTCAAGGACTCTCCTAAGGGAACGGGGCTGCCCTGGGCGTCTTTGGTCCTTGGAGGCCAGGTGACAGCCGAGGGTGGGGGCACTGGGCTGAGTCCTGGCCTTTCCATACAGGCCTGACATGGGGCACAGCACCCACAGTCTTGCTGAAGCCGAGGGATACCTCTCAGGGAGATGGAGGTGCAAGGCAGAGCAGGAGTCACACTCGGGCTGAACCCCAAATCCTGATTCTGCACAGCTGGGGGTCAGATCCAGGCTGGCCCCTTGTTGGACCGTCTGCCAGGCCTGGGACGGGAGGGGCCTCCTTACCTGGCCACACCCAGTCAAGAGCCTCCTGGGGCCCAGGACATACCCATCCCTGCTTCCCATCCCTGGGCTTCCCACCCTCCTGGGGTCATTGAAACAAGGCCCTATGAGCCCCAGCTCCTCCGGGCTGCTTTCATGTGCTCCACGCCACTCGGACACCCCACATCTGCACATCCCCGCACAGTGGGGACTCCCCAGGGCAGCACTTTGCTCTCTGATCTCGCGCTGTCCACTGATGGGGTGGGGTGATTTGCTGTCCCCGTGGATGGGCAGGAGATGCCACAGGGTGGGAATGCTCCCCTCTCTTCCCACCGTGACCGAGCACCGTGCTGAGCTGGGCTGACGCTTGTTGCCGGCTTGGGCTCACGGGGTGGGGAAGTGCCGGGTCAGAGCTCAGAGCTGGTGACCACTGGCATTTGCAGCCATGGTTTGTTGGTGTTTGTGGCCTGGCCGTTGGCTCCTCAGGCCCACGTTGGGGTCTCACAGCCCCTACAGGTGGCTCAAACCCCAGGGGTCCTGAGACGAGCCCCTGACCCCTTATTCCCATGGGCTTCACCCTGCCAGGCTACCTGGAGCGGCCCTGCCTGTTGGTGCTTCTGCCAAATGGAAGGTGCCAGAGAGAGGTTCACGGGGCGGCCGGGCCCCAGCCAGGTCACATGTGCCAGGGAGGGGTGGAGTGGAGTGATTCAGGCTTTGGAAAGGACTAACCGGTGGGCAGGCTTCTGTGCTGGTGTTACCTGTGGCTCTGAACTGGGAGAACCCCCTCCTCCCACCCCCCCCCGTGTTTCAACAGGCTGATTCCATCTCTAATGTGGGGCGAGTTCCGGCCGCACCAGGCCTGGGCTTCTGGGCGTCTACCTTGACCGTGGGCTGGTGGGCCTGCTGTCAGAACCCCTGTTCAGGGAGGCTTGCTCAAGACGTGGGCAGACACCGCTCCCAGGGTCAGGCAGCAGGGCCCTCCCTGAGCCTCCCCGATCCTGCCCCACCCCAGCTGACCCTCTCCCCTTTCCCCTTCCATCTCATGCTTTGTGAGCACCACAGGGTCGTGGCTGCTCAGGGATCTGCCCTGCTCAGCTTTGAGGCTTGTCACCCTTGTCCTGTAGCCCGACTGATCTTCAACAAAGGACAGCCAGGGGCTGCTCACAGCGACCGTGCGCCAGGGATCTAACCCCCGAGTCCCTTTCATTGACAATTTGAGGCTGATTATTCATTTAGGAAAAAAATATACATATCCAAATACTTTCCCGATAATGGATTTAAACATAAAAATTAAAATTCCCCAAAATGCTCAAAATAGAAATAGATATTTTTAGTAACAGGGAGTGGCAAAAGGCTTTTTCAGCGTGATTCCAGTGACCAAACGACCCAGAGAAAGGCTGATGTACCGCGTGCACCGTGGAGTAGCCGCGAGGACCCCCAGCACCTGCCCCGGTAGGCAGAGATGAGTGATAGCAAGCTGAGCAAACACATTTGCAGCCTGAGTGAGATACTTATGTTCCTGAAGATGTATGGAGTTCTTGGAAGTAACTCTTGGAAACAAAAATGGGCACAGCACAGAAACAGGCAGTTCTCAAAAAGGAGGGGCAGGAGTGGTCAGTAAGACGCTCACATCATTAACATTCAAGTGGGAGGCAAGGCGTGAGATGTGGGTCTCCAGCAGCACCAGCTGCCTGGCCTTGGGCTGAGTTTGTGGCGATTCCTTACACGACAGTGGAAGACCAATATGCTCTCTCTCAGTCTTTATATTTTTCTCAGAAGATCTAGCAATGATTTTTGTTGTTTTTACTTTTAAACTGAAGTATAATACTCACAGAAGAGGGCACTCCGCAGATCTAGTGCCCAGTGAATTATCCAAAGCAAACACCCGGGCTCCACAGCCAAGGTCAAGGAGAGCCGCTGGCCCACGTGCGCCCCAGGTCTCCCCGGGCATGATGCCACCCCAACTCCCAGCACTGCAGTTTGGTTTTGTGTCTTTCAGAACTGTCTCCTCTAACAGGATTGCATGGGATCTACTTCCGTGAACAACTTACTTTGCTCAGCTTTCTGCTTGTGAGGACGTCCGTGTCTGCGGTAGCTGTGGTTCGGTCCTTTCTGTCACTGCCCCTTTTCCCCTTAGATAAATGGGTCACAGTTTATTTGGGTGGTTGCCAGGTTGGGGCTGTCACAAACACGGCTGCTCTGAACATCGCGTGTGTGACCCTTGGTGGACACGTGCCCGCCATTCCGTGGGGTCATCGAGACGTGCGACTGCAGGGCTGCATGGTGCTTCTGGCTCTACAAGATGATGGTGGACTGTTTGCCAAAGTGGTTTCCCAGTTTACGTTTCCACCGCAGGCCTCGAGGGTCCTCATCCCCCCACCTCCTCACCCACACGGATGGCCTTGGCTGCTGGGGCGGGGTGCCATGCCACTTCCCTGCACCCCGGCCTCCCTCGCGTCTCCCCGTGCAGGGCAATGTCTGCCGCAGGCAGAAAGAGCCCTGCTTAGGACATCTTGTTGTACTAATATCCTAAGTGCTTTCTCGTATCATTAAAATTCTTCAAAAACATGATTTTAATGACTGCAGGATATTCTGTTGCATGGATTAACATAATTCGTGTATTCCCTGGCTGTACATCAAGCTGCTTCCATTTCTTTCCTGTCATGAATGATGCTGTGATCAACAGTGACGGTCCCAGACCCTTTTCCATCATGGATTTCTAGGAGAGGTGTCCCCTAACTTTCCAAAGTTTGCATTGTCCCACCGCACTTTTATGAAAAACACAACATTAGTATCTGTTTTCACTAACTGAAACAAATCTGGAGAGGATTTTCCCTTTTGTGAAAAGAGGTGAAAAGGGAAAATGGCCTCCAGCGTTGGTTCCACAGCGAGCCAGTTTAGACGCAGCGAGGATGGCATCACCCCACCCATCCTTCCCTGGGACTCCACTCAGGATCCTGGCGCCCGCCGCCACAACTCTGAACCATGTCTGTGAGCATCGATACTTTACCTCGTTTTATTTTGTGCATCTATTAGCAAGATGTGTCTGTCCCAAGGTATCAGAAAAGCCTAAGAGAGGTGATTTTTTGGGGGTCTGGGAGCACTCACACATCTTTTCATATAAATTAATGGTAATTGCCTCTTTGCTTTATGCCATTTTGCTTAGGGAAGATTTTAGGAATGTTCCACTTTCAGATACTGGGGAAACCCTGTAGTGGATTCTCCAGTCATTACTGGGGAATGGGTAAGTTGGCATTCCCCCCCATCTTCAGTGATCAGCAGCAGGTGACTGCAGATCTGCCCATCTGGCTTACTTGGGAATGTCTTAGCCAATGCAAATTTAAGGAAAACCATTTAAAATTTAAGGGTAACTTTAAAAAAAC